CCCCTCTCTCTCCCTACCTCCCTCCCCCCTCTCTCCATCCCCTTCTCTCTTTCTTTCCCTATCTCCCCCCTCTCTTTCTTCCCCCTCTCTCTATCTCTCCATATATCTCTCTCCTTCTCTCGATATCTCTCTCATTCTCTCCATATCTCTCTCTCATTCTCTCCATATATCTCTCTCATTCTCTCCATATATCTCTCTCATTCTCTCCCTATCTCTCTCTCTCTCTCGCAAAATTTTTAATGATAGCTAAAAACCTTTTTTACAGTATTACAGTATTACAGTAGTAATATCATCTAATGCAGAATTAAAAATTACTAGATTTTGTCATTAAAATAGCAGCGATATATTTAAAAAAATTAATCTGATGATGGCCCCTCGAAGACGAAACGTCGGATTGCAAAAATGNATCCCTATCCCCCTCCCCCCTCTCTCCATCCCCTTCTCTCTTTCTTTCCCTATCTCCCCCCTCTCTTTCTTCCCCCTGTCACTCTCTCCCTCTCTCTATCTCTCCATATATCTCTCTCCTTCTCTCGATATCTCTCTCATTCTCTCCATATACCTCTCTCATTCTCTCCATATATCTCTCTCATTCTCTCCATATATCTCTCTCATTCTCTCCATATATCTCTCTCATTCTCTCCCTATCTCTCTCTCTCTCTCTCTCTCTCGCAAAATTTTTAATGATAGCTAAAAACCTTTTTAAGCGATTACAGTAGTAATATCATCTAATGCAGAATTAAAAATTACTAGATTTTGTCATTAAAATAGCAGCGATATATTTAAAAAAATTAATCTGATGATNAAAAACCTTTTTTACAGTATTACAGTATTACAGTAGTAATATCATCTAATGCAGAATTAAAAATTACTAGATTTTGTCATTAAAATAGCAGCGATATATTTAAAAAAATTAATCTGATGATGGCCCCTCGAAGACGAAACGTCGGATTGCAAAAATGTTGACGCTATTGTATAGAGGCAAAAGTGGCAATGTAAATGTGCAATTTATTTAAAATAGATGTTTATAGCAGTACTGTACAAAAATAAAGTTTTGGGTCAAACAATAACACATTTTTTAAATTTTTTTCTGTAAAATTGAATAGTGTAATCAATTTTTGAATGTTTTTTAATTTAAACAAATTATCAACAATAACTGAAAAATTCATTGATGCGTCATTTTTTATTTTTTTTTTTTGCATTTTTGAGCATGTTTTTGAACTGTTATCACAGATTTTTTTACTTCAGCAAAAAGTATATGTCAAAACGATATTATCCGCAGAACTCTACGATGATTTTTTAAAGTAGAATTTTTCTTTGAAAAAAAAAGTGTTTCAGGACGAAAAAAATGAATATCTCAGAAACTTCTTGATATTTTTATCTACAAAAATTTGAGGTTATTTAACACAGGGAAAGGTATACTTTCACCAAGTTTCGTCAAAATTAAATTATTTTTACGAAAATGAGAAATAAAAAACGAAAAATCAGAAAAAACCTGTTTTTCACATTTTTCTCGGAAATTTTGAGGTTATGTTAAAAAGTAGCCTCTACAAAAGTTGTAGATTTTTGCATGAGCTACAACTTTTGTATTGGATACTTTTTTTGTGTAACATCAAGTTTCACCAGAAATCCCAATGATACAATTTTTCATTACTTTTCAACCCCCCAAATCAACCCTCCGCCGCCCCTGCTTACGCATTTATTTTTTTTAGGTTTATTATAAGCCCTTTTACCATTTCCACTTATAAAAGTCCAGGGAACATTTTTTTTTTCTCCAAGTGTAATTTGGTTGGACTAGAAACCTTGCAAAATATGACACAAAAATTGAGAGGAATAAGAGTTATATTACCTATGGCAAAATGTTAAAATAGTAATTTTTACAGGGCCATATTAATTTATTAATTTGATTTAAGCATACTATCTCTCTAACTCCACCACTGGTTGTAGAGGATATTATGAGGATATTAGAGGATATTATGTACCAATTGTCAGTACATTCTCTCCACTTAATCGAAAGCAATAAAAAAAATCAATATTTTCCAAAATTTCTTTAACACTCTGTATCTCGAAAACAAACGAAATTTAGACAAATATATAGGACTTTTTATATGTTTTGAGGTCCCCTATCATGTGGTGCTATGCAATGCACTTTTTTCCATGTCACACTGTATATACATTTTAAAGTACTTACAGACAAAAGCAGAATTTAAATCATGCAATGTTTTCTAGTTTAACCATGTAAATTTCAGTTAAGCATAAAACTTAGTAATAATTTAAGCTGATGAGGCTGTATATAACTTTCATCAATCTTGAAAAGATCATATAGGTATCTTATATGATTGTAATGTATGTGATGGATATGATGTATGTGATTGGTGTTTGAAAACTCAGTCTATAACATAGAATTTGTATTAAAATGTTTCCACATTGCAATATATGTGAATAGTCTGTTCTAACATAAAATTAAAAATTATTTATTTACAATATAAAATTATATGAACAAAATGTTTACATCTGCAAAATGAATCCATATATCTAAACCTACACCCAAATTATTTACCTTGAGAGCAATAAATCATGTTTAAAACTTAAAATCTGATTAATATCTAAGATACACACAGATTAACTTACCTGCCACACACCAACTACTGCATTTGCAATTAAAATAAGAAGAATTACAAAAGGCTCTACGAATGCTGTGAAGGCTCCATCGTGCTCTTCAAATAAAGCTAGTACCTGGAAAAATCATATAAGAATACATAGTTTTATTTATTTTTTCATCGATATGTATGATATTTCCTTCTGCCTACTGCTTAGAAATGAGATACAAAGGTTTACATTCTAATCACTTCAAGAATATATAAAAAATTTGGTGATGACAAATGTTCTAGACAAAGAACTGAAGATATTTTATGAAATACCACTGAAACTACCTATCAAAAACATAAAACTATTCTAGTTCAGTAATTTACCTAGATATATCGTCGGTTAAGAATGTGGTAAAATATACTTTTGCAATCACTTGACATTAGCCAGCCACACATGAAAACTTCAGAGTGCAGGATTAACATGTGCTGTTCAAAGATCACACACAAAACTGTTGATCAGTAAAGAATATACAGGGTGTTTGTAAATAAGAGCGAAATATTTTAAGAGGTGGTTGCCGAAGTTATTTTGTGAAAAAAATCATATAAACTTAGGTCGAAATATGTCGTTTCCGAGATACAGTGTTTAAATTTTAATATTTTATTTATTTTTACTAATTATTTCAGAGTTTTAAAGATATTGTATCTCGGAAAGCATATTTCGACCTACGTTTATATGAATTTTTTTCACAAAATAACTTCGGCAACCACCCCCTAAAATATTTCGTACTTATTTACAAACACCCTGTATATAAAAACTTTGAAGAGCAAGTCTGACGTGTGTTATTTAAAGAGCATATGCTAAAAGCGTTGGTTTGTGAAGTGTCACAATCAAATGTCACACAATCCATTCCAAAGTAATTGTGAAAAATCAGTAAATGTAAATGCAGATAAGTTATACCCTTATTTATATAATAATATAGTTAGACAAACAGTAGATGGTGACATTCCCTGTCATCCTTATTAGTGGTATAGTGATGATAATGATGATGATAGTTGTGGTGAACAAAACAAATTTTTAATTTTTTTTTCTTATGCCTAGCCTAGCCTTCACTGTTCACCTAGGCCTAAGCCTAGGTGAACATTGAATGATGACAATTTCCATAGATTATGTGCCGAATACAATATTATAACTTTAGCTATAAGGAGAGTATTAGCGGATGTTATTAATTTGTATAAAATTGTTAATAGTAAAATCGATTATGATCAATTAGTAAAATATATTTTTAATATACCTTGCAGGCCATTTAGGTCTTTCCGACTTATTCTTTATTCCAGTACAGAATGGTGCTCTCTGACAATGATATTTGTAACAGTTTGCACTTATTTTCTTCTTGTTTAGTTTCTTTTAAGAGATTGTTCAACTGTGTACCTACTTTAATAATATTACGAAATTTGTAATTTTACAACTCTTCAGTATGTTTGCTTGATGTACATTTGTTAAATTTAATGGATACTGTAGTGGGTTTTTCGTATGTTTAAATGACGACAATAACGACGATGACAATGATGATGGTGCTGGTGGCGATGGTGGTGCTGCGGATGATGACGATTATGAGATTATAATGATAGTAATGGTGGTGAAGCATGTGTTTACAAATACATATATGGATATAATAATATTAATACTTATTATTATCATTAAAATTTATAAATATGGGTAAAATATCGTGAAAACTGTTGTTTATGATATAAAACAAATTAATAAAAAACTTACTTATTTAAAGGTTTATCACCAAGTTATTTTAAAATCATTTAGGGTAAAATAACTAATCTTAACCAGTAGATAATTATATACTCTACTACAAAAATCAGAGGCATTTTTCTCCGAGCCAGCTAGATTAGTTTTTTCTATAAATTATGGTGTATTATAAAATTGAATATTACAATTTTTTTAAAGTTTCTATTAATATACAGGGTGAGTCAGTTTTTTGTAGTAGGATTTTAACAGTTGATAGAGAATCATTTTTTAATAAGAAAAGTTCCTATAAACGTAGAACGCTTCGTTTGTGACATATAGTGTTGAAAACAAACTTTTTTTACGAATTTTTCTTAATATCTAAAAGATCAACATATATTGAACTGAAATTTGGTATTAATAACACATTGGTTATGGTGAATAAAACAAAGATATCTGTTATCCATTTCACACACCAGTGACGTGCCTGAGGTGGGTTACTGCCCCCTTTAAAAAAATAATTCGTACGCCCGTGGATTTTTCTGGAAAATAACATAATTTCTAAATTTTTTAATCAATTCTAAACAAAACAGCTCTCTTTAAATTTTTTATAAAATGAACGGTTTTTGGTTAAATTCATTTGGCATGAAACTGTTCCAACGATATTGGTATATATACAGGGTGTAACTAAATAAGTGTAAAATATTTAAGGGGGTGATTCCTCGTCGAAAAAAAGATAGGATCTTTCATATAAAGAAACTTCATTGGAGCATCCCTTGTTAAGATACAGCCCCTTAAAGGGGGTACATAAAATTTGTTTAACAATTTTTTTCACAAGCACTAAACAAGTTACAATATTGAAATTAACCTGACATTTTCTACTACCAAAAAGACACTTAGCCAGTAATTTATTTGGTTTACCCCATGGTTGTAAGGGGTGGAAAACGCAACCCCTAAAATTTATTTCCAACGTAATTTTTTGTCTTATTATTTTTTTACCATTTAAAAATTTATTTCCGATAGCCTGTTTCATTCTAAAAAAAAATGTCTCTTGAATTTTTTGCCCAAATTAAACCAGTTCGCAG